CGACTACGATCTTTCCGACCAGACAAACATGTATATGTAATTCCTACTATGTAATGCAATCTATATGATGTACATTTGCTACATCAATCCAAGGCCTTCTCCCTAGGAAGAGCCTCATTTGTAACGACCAAACTGGGCCAGGCCCCGTGGTTTTTCCTCATTTTCAGGGGTTTTCCATGTAAAAACTCTGGTGTCTCTTATGAATGCTACACCCTCTCTTTTTCTGTGTGTGCGCTGGATCTTCGTACAATGCTAAGACGTTAAACTATATATTTCTCTACCGCCGCGAATACTCCAGGACGCAACAGAATCGATACTCTCCCCATTAGATTTTTTCTTCCTATTTGACAATCATCTATTATTTTGTCAATTAGAGAAATTCAAAATAATAATTTGAATATAAAATAATCATTTTCTTTTTTTCTCCGTCATTAGAATAGAACCCGTTATTTCATCTCCTAAATTTCTCTCCTAATTTCTTCAATTACCTTTAAAGGAGACATTTCTCTTAGCTTAGATAAAAGAAATCAATAAATGGTTTGCACATAATGAAAAGAATCGACGAACAAAACTTCCTTCCTCTTCTCCTTTCTCTTGGTCGATTTCCTTTGGCTAAAGCTTCCATTCGTTCATTTGATTCCACCAGAGTGATTGAATCGGAGTTATTACTCGCGAGGAATGGCTTCCTCTCACTCTTGCATGTGAACCCTCATTCAAATACACGATCCAAACCCGCCAACCCCGATCCGTGCCCATGCTTGGCCTGCTCAGTTGTCTATTCCATCCGTATGGTTAGTAAGTGTCGGTTCAAATAAAATGGCTACCAGTTCTTAAATTAATTAACCATAAGAACTTGACTTTATGGGAAATCTATATTCTAGAATAAAATAAATTATAATTTGCCCACTTTAGTTTGAAAAAAGTCTCTAGGAAAGTTAATATTTTTTTTAAATTCTATTTTAATTTTAAAATTTATTGTAGAATATTATTTCTATTTTTAAGAGTATATTTTATTCTCTACGTCATATTTGATAAAAAAATAGAAAAAATCAAATCTATAATTTATTTTCCACAAAAAATGACCCCTCTAAAATTATTTGGCAAATGATTAAGTAAATTGAGGTCCCTTAATGGGTAAGTTAGCCACACCAATCAAGAATGTGAATTATCTTTAAAGATTGCTTGATTTTAAGACTACTCTACATATATTAGTTGGCATGGATGAATTTTTTTTCTTATATAAGCTTTAAATTTTGTAATATTTTACTTATTCTTTTTCATTTACATAAGGACAAGTTATAAATCCATATAATAACAATTTATGGGTTCCTAATGCTAGAAAATACCTATAAATATAACTTAATTTATACTTTCAAAATCAATGAATAAAATTATCAGTCTTATACATATTTCATGTGAAAAATGCTTAGTGGTTGATATACTCTTGGATGAAGGTGGTGATTAATGTTTCATGGCTTTCGGCGAGTCCTTAATTATTTCTTTCCCATTTCTCGTCTCTCCCAACATAATTCTTCTCTCTTTCACGTAAGGCTTCGCCAACCCTAAATAATAATGTTCTTATATTCCCTTGTAGCCCCTACAACTTTTTAAGGTCTCAATTTTTCATTAACACAAAGATATCCTGGTCGAAAGCCAAATAAATAGAGAATATTTTGCGTTATGAGGAATAAGATTAAAATATTCACAACTTCTTAACCATATAGATCAGAATAAGATTAAAATATTCACAACTTCTTAACCATATAGATCAAAAGATGATGCTGGGGGCTTCTTTAGATCATCTCCAACTGAATTTCATATCATTATATGCAGTCCATGAATTGCTGCATTAGAACTCCAAATCTCACGCCAAAACACGATAGATGAACAGTGCGACGACAATATTGACGTCGGACAATTCATCTATGCCAAAAAAAAACTATTATCTTTACACCCTGCGTAGCTTCAAAGGAAGCGTGCGAAACAGGAGAGATATTATTACCTTCGCAAAGAAGCGGCGAAAAAAGAAAAATGAAGTTTTATTGGAGATTTCCTACCACATTTTGAAATTTTACATCATTTTAGAGTGAAAAATGAGGTTTTCAGTTGGAGATGCGCTTAACATTTCTTTTAGAAGAGAATCTCTTTGGTTTGCACCATATTATGGTGCAAATGACCATATAGATCAAAATATAAAATTACTTAATTTGATTTTTGATTATGTGATTTTGTATACTTATTCTTATCAACATATATGCTCTAAATTTTCTTTTATTTACAAACTCTCATGCATATCACATTCCTTATATGTTTAATCGAAAGTCTACACTCATCGTTTGATCATTAATAAAATGCATGCAAATTTCATAAGAAACAATTTGGCATCTCACAAATTTAAGCGCAGAGCATCAGAAATATACATCGCAACCAATGGAGGTCGCCTGGAAACACATCTCTTTGCTTCAATCAATCTTTTACTCCTTTGGCCGTGCAAGCCATAGCGAGCTCAAAGCACGAAGACGAGAGAAGTAATCATTGATGGCAAGCAGAGCTCGTGCAGATTGACGCGTCGTCAATATGTGCTGTAACTGCTGCAGCGTTCGCTGTCGAAGATTATCGGCCTGGAGATTAACCAAGATGATCTAAACTGAGTACCGACTTGTAGAAATTTCAATTAGAAGTATTCATGTAATTGCGAATTGCCTTATAGTTTAGGGTAAATATTTGTTCCTTAACAAGCATCTATTTTTGCCAGACTTGTTCAAATCTGCAACTGTGACACTCACAGAAACAATTCTAGAAGAAACTGTGAATTTATACCTGGGAGACGAAGTTTTCGAGAGTGCCAAGCTTTCCCATGGCCATTGCCATCTGACCCATGTAGTTAGCGACATTTCCTGATGAGCCATTGGAGCCAGGAGATCCCGATGCGATGGTTTCAGCCAGGGATTGCTGCAGTGCTTCCATGCCTTGGGAAAGAGCATCCTCTGCCTGTAATGATAACTGCTGTAGCTTGCAAATCCCCACTAACTGCTCCTCGGTGAGAGGTTCCAGTTGGCTTGTGAGCAGCTGAAAATTGGAAGTACAAGGCTGTAAGACTTTCAAAATATAAAGTGAAATCATGATCAATGGAAGCAACATGATCAAAAATTGGCAAGGTTTAATGTCCACAGAGAATTCAGATAAACCCTAAATTGAAAAAATGAAGGTCCTTTACCTTGAGAAGTTCAGATGACCGGAAACCACCAATCCACAAGAAGCATCTTTCTGCAGGAGTCTTCCACATCCCAGCAAGCATGTGAAATACATCAGCCTTAGCAGCAGTACCCTTGAGCTTGAAGATCTCATCATAGTGTGCCATGATGCCATCCACAATGACACGAAGCTCATTGTCACTTGCATGAGAATTTACTGCAGCCCTAAGCTCGCTAAGTTGTCTGTTGTGCTCTTCAATCCAGCGTGCATACTCCATGTCAAATGCCAAAGCAACTGCACAGGTAAGCCATTAATTTTGATGAAGATAGCAAGAGAATTAGTATCATACCAGTTATCAAACAGCGAAATTCAAACATATTTTTTTCCACATAAATCTAATTTTTCAACAGCTTTCAGGGGGATCATTAGCATTAACCACCTTGACTGTTAGTTTAAAGATCATGCACTTGAATCAACTTAATATAAAATAATGTTGTCCTATAAGAATCATAAACCTTTTCTCGTGCACCAAGAAATTATCAATGCATCTAATGGTAACTCGCTTGGCTTCTTGTTCATGTTTCATCAAGAAACTTAATGAGCTTGAGCTTCGTGTGTTTGGTTAAATAATTAACAAACCAAAATAAAAAAGGCCTCAACTCACTCATTTTCGGCTAATTTGCATCCTTAATAAGGATATATGTAAAGGATGAGGTATCACACTAGTTAGCCAATTCATTAATAAAAAAAATTTGACATGTTTGATTAAATATCAAATAATTACAAAATGAATTTAAACATAGCCCACTACATAGTCGGATGGTTGAGATCAAAATCAAAGTTTTGATTTAAATTTGAGAGCTCAGGGAATAAAATATGTTCCAAAAAATTAAAAGGAATATAAATAGCTCATCATATAGAAGTTTATCTCTTCATATCTTTCTCCATTTCCAAGAAAAGCTCATCATGTAGCTGCAAAAGGGTAAACTATTACTGTTGATCTTCACCATCATCACAGTCATCTTTAGGCTTATCACATTTTTATTGATCTTTGTGAACATTAATTTAAACTAGGTGAGCACAAAATGCATCAAATTTTTATTTTTTTAGTAATAGATGGGATAGATGGTGGTTAGACCTGCAATGTTTTATGGTGCAGAATGTTGGTCATTAAAAAGGAAGCATAGTATTAAGTTAAGTGTTGCAGAGATGAGGATGCTCAGGTGGATGAGTGGCTTTACCCTTAGAGATAGATACGAAATGAGCATATACATGAAAAGGTTAGAGTAACTCCAATGGAAGATAGGATTAGAGAGAGTCGCCTTAGATGGTTTGGTCATATAAAATAGCGGCCTTCCGATGACCTACTAAGGAAGATAGATGTATTAGATTTGACTTATGTTAAGAAAGATAGGGGTAGATCTAAAAAGACTTGGTTAGAAAATATTAGAAATGACCTTTATTTATTAGATTTAAATGAGAATTTAACTTTTAATAGGGCACAATGAAGAAAAAGGATTCATGTAGCCGATCTCATATAGTGGGATAAAGGCTTAATGTTGTTTTTGTTGTAGATGGGATACATTAGAAACAATACTAAAGAGCATCCAAATAGTGCAATGGGACATCCTTTACATCCATAAGCACCAAATGCATCAAATTGTTCTTTTTCTGTCGTCAAAAGAGTGCATTTAGAAACAATACTAAGGAACACCCAGATAGTGTGTTGCGATATCATTAGCTTTTGTAATCATGAGTTTCTGTAGAAGAATGCTCTTGAAGTTGCCGGTTTGATTTTCTTTTTTTTTTTTAATGAAATAGAATTTACTGACCTCAGCTTCTCGTTTTCCTCTGAAATTACTTTTTTTATTGTCAAATATGAGTAACTGGTTTTCATTACTCTAGTTCTTATATCAACATTTAAATCAGACTTCTAGGTGGAATATCCCTATAGAGAGGACGCTAGCTTCATGAGGATTGCTGATGCCCACAGTTTTAGAGTTTAGGGTCGGTTTAGGGTTCTAAAATCATTGAGATTATTTGTCAGATTGCTATGCCCAATAACCTCGTCGGCACAACCAGTGTTCTATAAGCCAATAAATTCCTAAAAATCTAGCCATTATCCTAATATCCCATCATCCATATGTTATTAACCAATCCCTCTTCCTAATTCTGCATCTCATAATCAAGTTTAAAATATGTCTAAACATGCAACTTTGTTTTCAATTAACCATAAGGATGGAGCTCATTTGATTGCCTGAAGTTGAAAATTATGTTTTCAAAAATGATAATGTTTGTAAAATTCATAATTTGATTGATATAGTTAGACATAAATGTTGATTTTAAACTTCACAAACCTTCTTAAAACTCCTTTTAAAATGATGATTTCATTCATACATTCAAAATGAGTGAAAACAAACTCATCATTAGCAAAATGAGCCTTAGTGGAATGATTGAGCAATAACGATTGAAAATGGATTATAATAGTTCAAGTGATTTTTGAAAGCTATGCACATTAAATTCTTACAAAGGCGTACTATGTATGTAAATTCAGATTCAGTTTTAAGTCACAATTATAATGGAAAAAAAAAATCAGAAACAATGAACCACGAAGTCTTCTAAAATCAATGAACCACAAAGTCTTCTAAAATCACCATCAATAACACCAAATATGCACACAATAATATTCAAATAAATATGTGCACCGTTCTAGCTTATAGATTTCAGTGTAAAACCTTTAATTCTTTCTTGTGGGTAGAAAAGGCACGCAAGAATCATAATGAGAATAAAGAATCCTGAAGCATATGAAACATTTAAAATACCATTTCCATTAACAGAGTGTGACTGATCTCCTGCACTTGAAATGAAGATGCCCTGTAATAAGAAATCAGCAAGTTTAGAGAAACAACCAAGAAATTCATCATAAACAAACAAAATGATAAGTGCGTATGGACTTAAGAATATACCAAAAACAATGTTATAATCATCCTACCTGCTGGCGAGATCGCTGCAGATCTTGCTCTAATTGAGTAAGCTTCAGCCTGCTATTCTCCAATTGTTGGACATATGCCTTTATTCCAAGATGGTCAAAATATACAATCAAAATAGATAACACAAGAGAAACAAAATGAAAATTGAAACTTTTTGGGAAAAAAAATCCTCTTAAAATGGTGAAAGAAACATAAAATAATGGTTAGCCCATCAAACTAGTATTAAAATTCAAAACACAGCCAATTTCGCAACATTAATTCTGCGGGGAGATCAGGAATAGGGCTGGGAGACAGCTAGATATAAATTTACGTGAAGGGTAACAAAATTAAGCTTTACTGCAAATAAATGTAATATAGCATCCATTAACAATGCCAACTTGGCTCAAATTTGTTCTTAAGCTTCGTTTCCTCTTATGGCTCATAGTGTCTACGGCGTGACAACTACCCATGGTGCAACAAGTGTAGCAAGTTTTGCTGTAGCACAAAATCATGAAAATCATCATTGTCATAAATTTAAAAACTTAAAAATAACATATTATTAATTTTGAAAATATTTAAAATTATCATGTTGAGCCTTAAAAGTATTATTTTTGAAAATTATGAAATTATCACTGTCATAAATTTGAAAACTTAAAATTACCATATTATTTTTTAGTATGAAAAGTTATCATATTATAATTTAATATTATTAACATCACATTATTTTTGTGCTTTAGTATTATTATTATTATGCAGTCATAATATTATAAGTTATATTCTTAAATAATAATTTATAATTTTATATAGTTCAAAATACATGCATCTTATGTATTTTTTCCTTATATTTCCATGACTAGAGAACCCTCTTGTAACAAAATTTTAAAACATGAAAGAGAACATCAACATACCATGCAAAGATAACTTCAAATTTAGGCTTGGGTGTCCCAAGCATCATTGGACGAAAAATATTTTTGGAAAGTGAATATGCATATCTACTTTAATATTTTGGTGAGCCCCACAATTGTAATATCCTAAATCAAACATGCCACTCCCATCACTAGGTGTCGAGGAGACGAAAGAGTTTTTTTCATCACCTGGAGTCGTGAAAGGACGAAGGCTCAAACTCGAGGAGTAGCAAAAGGGGGTAGCCAGGTAGGTGAAGGGTTCATTTCAAGAAGACGAAAGGATGATTGTCAATGAAGATCGGTTTCATCAATTTGTTGACTGCACGGTAAGACAAAGGAGCAATAGTTCTATTGTCGTACGAGAAAACAAAAGGGCTTCGCCCCTATAAATCAGCGAGAGGTGAAGGGGAATCAAAGAGAAAGATCAAGGAGAGGGCGTGAGCAGGTTTGTTGCTAAGGGTAGGGTCGAGAGGGTGCTATAGTTTCTAGTTTTGAATGATGAATCGCCTTCGACAAAATACTGTCGCACAACTTTTGAGTTGTTTTAGTAGAAGAAAAATGGGCCATGTTGAGAGTTGTTTTAGTAGAAAAAAAATGGGCCATGAATATAAACAACATGCTTATCAATAGCCACCAATCAAGATAAAAATACAAATTAAGCATTTAAATTACTAATCATTCCCATAAAATGTAAGCGCTAACAAAAGTAAATATAATAATTACCTAGTCAACTTTAAAGCAAAAGTTATGAATATAATTCTCATATGGAATTTGGCACGGACTATCAAGAGGACAGGATAGCACCATCATATTTCTCGCATTCCAAGGTGAATAACCAAGTCATGTACCTACATTTGATGAAGTTGATGAAAAAGAGGAAAGTGAATTCACCATGTTCATGTCTAAGAAGAATGGACATTTGATTGTGCATTCATCAGTCCAACCTTTGAAGCAGTTGATTTTTTCAAGTATTTATGTCAAAGTGAATCAAAGTTGGTCATAGATTCAAATTCACGAAGGTGCAATTGGGTGCCCAAGAGAGCAAAATGAAACATGAGTTTCAAGAGTAAAATAGAATAGCAATCACATCTCTCATTATTGATGATAGACAACTAAATCATGGATCTGCATTCGACTAGAATTAAATGACGGGGTGATGGGCAATGTGTAGATCAAATGACGGGGTGATGGGCAATGTGTAGATCGAAGTTTTGGATCAATATGATTTGTAAACCCATTTCAAGCTGTTCCTTGATCAAATCAAATCGATTCACAATCAACTTGTAATATAAATAATATATGTGATGATATATAATAAATATATGCATATATGGTTATCATAAATATGTATATTTGCACACATAATGATTTTAAGAAAAGTGTTTTTGGGTCAACTAAATTCAAATTTGGGCTAACTTGAAATCAAACTTATTCAAGCCAAACCAACTTATCGTTTGAGCCACAAGCTAATTTCAAGCCTCCTAATGTTGTGGGCTCCAAAAATTCGCTCTTCGTCCTCTACGTGCCTTTTTTTGTCAACTTTGAGAGTTTTAACAAATTAGGTTCCAGGATAAATTTTCAGAAGATAGATTGAATTTTAGATAAGAAAATACCTAGATATTTCACCCTCATTTTGCCAGGAATTTATAATCTGAGTTTTGGTTTCCTATAGGCGCTTGCGCATATAGTTCATTATCCTCCGATAAGAAGAGAGAATTTAGATTAAAGCCATCATTAGATTGGCACAAAGTATTCAGCTTATAGTAGCAGCATCTTTCAGGGTTTGCAAATTAGATATTTAGAATTTGAAATTCACTACTGTACACTTAATGCGCATGATGGGGGAATGATGACAAGCCCGATCAAGATCCCATGGTATCGTCACCCCGAGCTCTCTGGTCCTTACTCTACCTAGTCAGAGGAGGTAGTCGACCAATTTAAACAAAGGATCCTTGTCGGAAGTCATGGGTTGTTTCGTCCAAAGGTGCCTTGTAGACTTGGGGTGAATGTTTGTCTAAGGAGACAAATCTAGTCAATCTTAGCTAACAGAGGAATTTATGCACTATCAAGTATACCTTATGATTCATTACTCAAGGGTTTAAAGTCATTGTGAAACATACAAGCTCTGGCCATAACCATAATATAGTAATGTCATTTTATGGTAAAACCACCCGGTTAAAGGACCCCAATTACAATCATTTATCTGTGGAGCTATTTGGTGGCAAAACCATCAGATAGAGGACACATGCCACGCCATATTGGCAAGAGATCATTTGAGAATGAATTTTAGCTATACACCCGACATGACATTCGCTCTTAGTAAGATAAGGTTATTCTCAAAATTATTATCCTAACCAAACAGTTGCGTAGGACAAAGATACCTTGTAGATTATGTACAAGCATTTTCGATTGATCCAAAGTTGAGGCAAATTTAACTACCATCCAGGCTCCCTCTAAACGGAGGCCTAATGTAGAATCAAATAATTTTATGGTTGTTTAACACAATGCCCTTTAACCATAACTTAAAAGGCTATGAATTTTTTCAACTTGTTTAAAAATCTTGAAAAATGTGGCAAGGATAATTGTTTCAAAATTATTATCCTAACCAAACATTCATATTAGTTAACATTGCCTTCAAAATTTGGGCAAAATTCTAGGAAACTGCAATCATTCATTTGACGATTACAACCACCTTTTGAAAAAAAAAACGAAATGAGAAGGAAATTATGAATCTTTTTTTAAAAAATTCAAGCAGATAAATGCAAATATTGAATATTCCTAGAAAATTTAAACCAAAACTGATTAGATAAGGTCATCAAGGGATGCATTCCAAGTTCACAATTGTGAAAAATAAGTTCATGAAAACTTGCTACCTTTTTTCTTAATCGGCTCTTCCTAGCAGCTTCGCGGTTCTGAGCAAGACGGCGAAGACTCTGAAAAAAGAAAAATAAAAAAAAAAAGAGTGTGTGCATCAACTCATAATGTCTGTACAAAATACAAGTAATGAACTTATATTATAGTAGGACATATTTCTGTCATTAATACCTTTTGATCCCCCGTTTTTCCTTTAGATTGGTCGCTTGAATCAGAAGTAACAGGAGCAACTGATTGAACTTGTTCCAGCTGAAGTTCAAATGAAGGGTTATAAATTATGCGGATCTCCTTTAGCATTGAGATATAAGCACAACAGAACTAAAATGGAAGTAAGACAACATGAAAACTGTAAAGTTTGTTATAAAAGAAGATAGTATGTGAAATGATAGAAACACAATTATATGGCAAACTTGAAAGATAAAAGCTATGGCATGCCTACAACATATATATTTGAGCATTAAATAATAAAAACTTACTGTTTCGGAATATCCTCCTCTCTTTACTACTTCCTGTTTCGGAATTATATTTTTTTAGATTTTTACCAGGAAATTTTATTTGATGCCCTATACTAATTGGATGTTAAGATATTAAACTGCTATTGAATCTCTAAGAATTGCAACACTGCTACTACAGAGTTTTCTACTTTTAAGAGATCCCCACCCGCTAGAGCTTGCCATTAACACATTACACCATCATGACTGTGATCATTTAGTTAGGAATATTTAATTTCAACCATTTTAGACAATTACAGTAGATGATGCAATTGTAATTGTAATTATGATACGATAAATTTGAAACATTCAATATTACTTAAATGATGTCAGCTGAAGTTGTCTTTAACAACGTCCAATTCATTTGACATTACTTTAATGACACTTGACTTTTTCAGAAATTGGTCTAAAAAAAATTAATGCAATTGAATATTATTTTGGAATAGTGAAGGATTTAAATCATTAAGCTGAGACAAAATACCGAAGCCAACAAGAGTTCTAAGGCAAAGTTCAGGTGAGAGTTACATATATGTTAATGGAAAATTTACTTGAAATTAATGAAAATATAGATGCTAATGAAAATATAGATGTAAGATAACAGTGCAGATTCATGTAAGTGTTTATATGATCTTAGGTGTCGCAATAAAGAAGCCACTTAAGAACTAAAGAAAATTGTAAAGGATTTTAGCACGAAAAGAAGTAAAGTGTGTAATTATATTTATTTTATAACAGTTATATTTTTCTATTTTATTTAATGCAATTATATAATACTTTATCATGGATTTGTGCTAATTAAATTTTAAATTATCTATTATGCATTAAATTGAGGAAAAACTAAACAATCAAAGTAATAATATGGCATATACAAATGTGAAAACTGCTCATTATATATATATATATATATATATATAAAGGAAAATAAAATAAATAAAATGAATCATGATCGGTAAATGGAAAGTATTAAAAGAAAAAAAAAGGTATATGCATGCAAATACAAAAGTTCACCTCCTTACGGCACTAGTTGTGGATGCAATGTACCAGTGCACTATAAATAGAAATGGAAATTGTTGTACATTCATTGGTACAAAATTTAGATGGTGCTCATATAATAAATGAACTGTTAAAAAAATAAATTTAATTTTTTTTGAAATTTTGATATACATCTATATTAAATATTTTGCAAGTTAAATGAAAAGTTCAATAAATAAGCATGACCATATGACTACTTATATGCATGTTTAATTGCTATACTATAAACTATAATTGACCACTCAGTTTGTTATGAAAAACTCAAATTGTTAAAATGAAATTTTCAGGTAAAGTTTCTATGGATTAGATGGCTGATAAAGAAGGTTTCGTGTACACAAGAAGATGATCAACCTAAAATAGATAAAACTATTTTGTCATATGTTCAGACAAAAAAAAATTATTTTAGTGGCTCTTCAGTTAAATTTGGATGTTAGTCTATTGAGTAATTATTGATGTTGAAAGAATTGTGATGTTCGTTCGATCATCTGCTCCCTCACGCCTTATTAACTTGAGCTTCCAGGCCGGGCCTTGAAACTTCAAGCCCATCATTGATAAAGAATGCAATTACCTTAGAATTAATAAAATGGGGTTACATAGAAATAAACAACAGAAGCTTCAAATGTAAATTACTTGTCACCAAAATTAAGAGGTTGAATCTATACTTCATCCACAAAGAGAAAGAATAGAATTAACTCTATATTTTTATTTCATCTTCCTAAAGTAAACCGCCAACTATTGAAATAACCATAAGATCCAATGCTGGAGTTTGGTAGAAAATACTCATGCAAACACAACTCCAACCCAAAGAAGAAAGCAAAAAGTCAGCCTTTTCAAACTTTCTAACATAGGAAGTTAACATCAGTTGAAAGATTAACTAAGCTTACTTTTTCAAAAATACTGGACTAGTTATAAGGGCCGCTATGCTAGGAAACTCAGCGTTTACCTACACTACATTTCCCTTTGAGATCATCAGAAAAAGCATTCCTCAGGCCAAATTTCTTTTGATATCAGCAAAAAAAAATTAAGGGAAGATTACACATGCATATTCCTCAAATTTCAAACATCACATTTCATACATTATGTACAAATATTAAAATTTGTTCATGAAATAGATAGTACAAGTTTTTGTAAGAGCATGAGAATGAATAATAATATATTACTGAATCATTCAGTAATGTTAGGGAACCCAGCAAAAAGACAGAAACATACCCTTTGATTTTTTTCCTCAATGTCAACGTCAGTTGAAGTATCAGTTCTCGGGCTAGCATCTGCTATTGAGGATTCACCCCAGCTATCTATAAACCCACTGGGAAGAGAACCAACGTTTGCTTTCTGGCCTTTATGCTGTTGCAAGGGAAGTGATCCAGTTGTATGTGCAAAGGCAACGGCCGGCTACAAATAGATAATAGATCAATATTAACTAATGCATCAGAAATCAATTATCTGAAAATGTATGTTCAAACATACTTTACTGAAGGAACCAAATTGTAGATGATCAGAAGTTATGAACTCGCCAATTGAATTTGAATTAAACAAATTAGCTGCGCATAAATAAAGACCAATAACATACTGTGAGGCGGCATGGGATTCTATTTACTACAGTGAAAATCATATAAATGGGATATCAAAACGTACTTCGTGCAGCATCTTCTATGCGAAAGCCCGTAGGTTGCTCAAACGCACCAAAGTCGGCAAATCGAGAAGTATGTGCACTGTTTCGTTCCATGCTACTTGAAAACAAAATTACAGAAGGATGAAGAGTCTTTATTTAGCTATTATTTAGCTAATATAGTAGGAAAAATATAATGCCAATAACTAAACACAGTCTTTTGCCAATACTGCATAGGTTATTTTGCAACAAGCATTCAATCTTTTTCTACCTTGGATGATGAAACTAGATTGATACAAAACTCCAAGCATGGAAATCAGATAAACAAAGATCTCCTGTTATCTTCTTTCTTAACAAGAGCCACATAAGGATAAATGAATTTCCTCATTAATGAAAAGAGAATAAAAGATAGTAAGGTTGCTGGTTTGTGATAATACACAGCATGAAACTTCTGATAGATGTCTTAGTCCATGAAGCTTGGACACGATAATAGGATACTTACTATACATGATATCAAAGGATACAATGATATGGACATTGAAGAAGTAGGTTATGGGTATATCGCGATTTGATAAAAAATAGATGCATTAGGCACAATACAGATAATATTTATGAATACAAACATTTATTCCAGTTTACACATTTTAATATATATATATATATACACACGAACTAATTTTGTAGTATTCTTGCCACTTAGTTCCATTTTAACCCTTTACGGTCATGTCCATGTAGATCTCCATTTCAGTTGTGAAATACATCCAATATGATCAAAATCTATGACACATGAGTATCACTTGATCTTGAATAATATGAATGATAGTTATCCATTCTAGATACTCAAATATTACCTCTCCTGTAATTAGTATTTATCATAATCCTGAAATATTGACTGATACTTAGATGAATTATGAATATACAATATGCATGCATCTGCCTATGCATATTTATGAACACAAACAACTATGCTAGTTGCATGCATTCAAGCACAAACAAATAAGATGGCCAAACAAACTAACGTATTCTATATCATACTATAATTATTTATGCGTATACAAAAGGATAGATTATTATCATTTTCTATGGAATGTGTCATGTTTTTTCCAACAAGTTTACCTTTTCTTAATTTTCAACAACACAACGCCTCTTAATATACACAATGATTGATCGTGATGCATCTAAAAAAACTTCACAATGAATTATCAAGACATACAGCTTATGTTAGCTTACTCCTAGACAATCCAAATAATAAGATGGGTGATTCATGAATTTGAAGATTTCCAAGTAAATAAAATTTTAATATCGTGTATGCTATAGTATCTAAAATAATTTTAATGGGATGGATTTCAAAAAGAAAGGTGAAAAGTAGTCGTGGGCTTTGAAAAGTACACAAATTTTATCAAGGATTAAAGATAAATCATCTGGAGGCAGCATAAACAAATAATAAGCACTAACTAAAGATTTCATAGACGTCTTCTATTCCTAGTTTGAGACTTCTCAGCTGACAAGAAGAGCAAATGGGATTAATTCCACTTATATTACTTACCATAAACATCTAAAATTGGGATGGAATTGGAAAAGTTTGTTTAGGGAAAGAAAGCTAATTTGAATTCAGATTTATTAGGGAATTAAAAAATGTTTATTTAGAAAAATATGGCTGATTTGAATTCAGATTTGAGAGGGAATTAAAAAATATTTATTTAGGGAGAGATGACTGATTTGAATTGAGATTTGAAAGGGAAGTAAGAAGGTTTATATAAGCGTTAATTGGGTTGTTTTATTTTCATTATGTGAATTATGTTTTGCTGTAGTTTTCTTTGGAGTTGTTCCTAGCAACACCTAGAGTTTGTGGAGAGTCGATCTACCTCCCAAATAGTAGATCAACTTGCATCTTTGTTTGTTTTGACGATATAAAAACTTTCTTGTTGATTTCTGTTGTGTTTTCTCTTCGTTATTGTTGTTTTTACTAGGGGTGTCAAAAATTGACATGACATGGAAACTCGACACAAACCGGTCCCGAAATTGTTGGGTTAGGGTCGACCCATTTGATGTTTTGGGTCAGGTCCGGGTCAACCTGACAACCCGATACTAACCCGTAATGACCCGCGCCGTTTTGTTTAGGGAAAATGTAAGTAGCGAGCGAGCAGGTGGGACTCGGGCAGCGAGCTATCTCTTGTTATACGCTTATACTTTGTTTTGTTTCGCATTAGGGATTTAGGCATTTAGCGGATACTCACTCGTTTTGTCTTCGTCAGTTCGTCTATCTAGGATTTCTCTGTGGGAACTCTCCTCGCTTACGTTCCGTCGCATCCCTTCATTCCTCTTCTAATTCCTTCAGCTTATCGGCTTATATCTTGCTTAGCGGCTTCCTGCAGTTGCGTGTGTTCATAAACCATAAGTTCTCCTCCCTTGTTGGTCGTCACAGCCTCAACTCTCAAGAAAAATTACACTGTTTGTATCTCATTTCTATTATGATTGTTCACCCAGGAAGAATAGGCGTGAAGCTCGCTCTAACAAGCTTAAGGTCCTTATTTTCCCTGAGGTATATTGGATTTTAAATTAACCAGATTTTTCCTAAGAGTTGTGTCAGGGATTATTTAGATTTGGGTTCTAGTTCTTATAAGTGCAAGTCATTATAGTAAACTACCCCTCCTAACGCATTAGAAGAGCACTCTCGATTAAGGATGAAATACATTTAATTTGTGCATGAAGTGCAGATGTGCGTGCACCAGTGTATGAATGTTCTAAACCCTGATTGTAGGGGATGAAGGTAGACCCGATCAAGATCCCATGGTTCCATCATCTCGGGAATACTATAGGATTCAGCCTACCAATACTAACGGCCATTGATCGTAATGTCCAGAAAATCTGATTAACAGTCATGGGTTGCCTCCTCTTAGGAATTCTGAGTAGACTGAGGTGGATATATATATTAGTCATTTAATTTGGGTAGATACTTATGGCTTTGTTTAGAAGTTGCTCATAGTTTAAGTTTGGTTGGGTTTTACGACCCCAATTAGGAGTTATCTTTAGGTTCAGATTTTGGTCGGGGCTTATGGCTTTCATTTGAAAGCAGCCCAAATAGCGGGTCTTACGGCCTCTATTAGATGTGGCACAAATAGTGGTTCTTACAACTTAGCCCTATCGACTAAGATGCCCAATGATTTTTGGATTTTCAGGTAGGTCATATGGCTTCTAAATTTAGAAGTTGTCTGACGACGGATCTTACGACCTAGCCTTGTAAGCTAAGTGTCCCGTATGGTGGATCTTACAACATAGCCCTATAGACTAAGATGTCCATATGAATGGTCTAAAGTTATGTTACTACATAGACATTTCCCTCAAAAGTCGAACTTATGAATTATATTAGAAGTTGTCGATGTGTTTCAAATGTCCATCACTTCACATAACGAATTTCTCTAGTGATCACCAGTAGTATTCACCACTTCCATTAGAAGTGACCTATAGGGTTTAGGTTAGTGAGGATATAGTTTTACACATTTCACTGTTTTGACACCAGTGTCAGCACCATATTTTGCCAACTTTGTTTCAGTACTAGCCTGCGGTCGTTGTTTTTTACACCTACTAACTAGTAGTTATTTTCTACTCTAACTTTCAGCAGTGCTTGTTATTTTGTGTTTGTAGCTTCTTTTCTACTATAGCACTGTTGTTTATTCTTTACATGCTTTACAGCACTTTGTTCTGTCTACAGTAGTTAGCTTTACTTGCTAGTTTTACTTTCCAGCAATAATTATGCATGCTTAGCTATAAATTTACATTATCAGATATATTTAATATACTGTATTAATGCTACATTTGTTTGCTTGCAGGTAAGCAGTGCTTGCAGCAGCTTGGAGAGCTTTGTTTTGAGAGCTATTTGAGAGCCGCCAGTTGTTTGGAGAGCTTTATTTTGAGAGGTTTAGCTTGTACTTAGGTTGGATAATGGAAATATTTTATTTCTGCATTTTCTTTTATTTTGTTTTAATTGCATTAATTAATTAGATTAATTAAATAAATTTTAATTTTAATTAAAGTTAAATTTTAAATTGATCAGCTCTCACATTAAAATGAATTTTAAAATTATTCAATTAATTTTGATTTAACTATTAATTGGATTTAAATTTCATTTGCTCGATTAATTTGATTAAAACCTTAATTTTAATTAAAGTTTTGATTTGTTAAAGTTTGATTTAAGTTAACATTTTAATTTTAAAATTGCATTTTAAAATTATTTAATTATCAATTAAATTATTTGCTCAATTAAGTTTAATTAATTTTAATTTAATTATTAATTGAATTTAATATTCAATTTATTAAATGAGGCTTTATTTTAAAATTAATGAGTTTTAATTAATTTTTTTAGTTCCATTTTAAGTGGTTAATTAACTTATTACAAGTTTCTCTTGGAAATTTAAATTTAATTAGTTCTTTTTTGTTACCAGTTTAAATTTAATTAGTTGATTTTGTTGGTTAAAAGATTTTAATTTTAAATTCATTCATTTAATTAATTAGTTAAAAATTGAATTAATATTCAAATGGATTTTTAATTAAAATTGTTTGATTATATATATTTTTTAGTTAAGTTAATTAATTGAGTCAATTAATCATTTAGTTAATGAAGTTGGATTTTAATTATATTAAAAGATCTTATTAATTAAGATAGTTAGTTTATTAGGATTTTAATAGTAAGTTTAATTCCATCAAAATTTAAAGTTTAAGTTAATTAAAATTCTCCAACTCTCCCATTCGGCGGTCCCTCGACATAATTTTGACAGTTTTACGGGACAATTTCGGCAGCCTCCCAATGTCCCCTCCCCACGATTGGAGGTTAAGGGAGGGCACTTGCCCTTTTTGCTCGACTCAGACAGATCAAATCAACAGGGAGGACTTCAGGGGAGCAAATCGACCCCGAAAATGGTCTTCGAATCTTCAATCCACTTAGTCTAATCAAATCGACGGTCGAGGGCTTCGGGGGATCGTATAAACTCCGGGACTTCAATTTATGCAATGGTAATGGTTTTATTTTATTTTCGTATTTTTACTAATAGCATTATTTTATTATAATACTATACAAGTATTTATAACATTATATACTATTATATAAATGTTATATAATATAACCTATATAACAACAAGTGCAGATCCTCTTTACACGAAGAAATCTACTAGATAGTAAGATTAGCCATAGGGAGGTCGAGCAAATTCTTAAGCACGGGCAAGAGTTGCGCAAGGGGCTTGCAATCGACTAGGCCGAAGCCACTGCCTTCCTCCGACTCCTTAGCAAGTGATTGTCAACATCTGCGTAGTTTGAGTAGTCATCTCTAACCACTCAGTTGCATAAAGTATAAATTTTATAATTTATAGTTTGGCAACAATGACCATTTATTATTAAGTTTTGCAATATAAAAAATATACAGGAAGATTTCTTGCTTCTATTACAAATGGGAAATTTGATCTAAAACAAACCTCCAGCATGATCTTAAATAAATAATTTATCAACAATTCTATCATCCAATGCTACTTATAGGAGCCATCATCTAAACTAGCATGCCACACGCATAGCCAATGCATTATCACTGCAAGCAGCTACCCACAGCAACATGCGGAGGCATTATTACTCAAATTAATGCCATCTAAAGATTATGTTAGAAGACAACAACGATTATAAGGCTATCTACTCTACCACACTTAGGCTAAATGTCGAAGTTATATTCTTGATGCGAAGGTAAAAAAAAAGTGAAATAATAAAATCCTATTTTATTTTTTTTTTCCTCAATTTGCCAATAGCATCATAAAGGTTATGCATCCTGCTTATTCTAAAAGCAAACAAAAAGTACAATAAATTTATCTTGTGATCCTTAGTCTGAAAAAATAAAATCATACGCAACAATTCATATGTTAAGTTGGACACCTATGTGCAAAGCTTGAAAGAAGAGATGGATGATGGGTCCAAAGACTCATTTATTACAAAGCATTTTACAAAATAACTGGCAGTCAAACCTTCATATGTTAGACTTAACTCTAGAAGGATGGCCACCCTTGATTATCACAACAACATTTCTTTTTGTTTCTCTCTCCATATATTTGGTACATTATGTCTTTTTACTTGAATTTTCAATAGAAGTGTTAGGCCCGTATGTCCTTAAATTAAAACATTAGATCCCCTCCTTTGTAACTCAGCATACTAATGTAAAATCTTGAAAATAGTCCACTTGTAATTGATGCTTGTCATTTAGCAATGAGATTTGACTGGATGGTCAGTTAATAATGCATTCAATAGCAAATTTGATGATTCCCACAGCTCCTTTTTAATTTCAAAAAGATAAAAAAATATATTAATTTTGAATCAACTAAAATCTTAAACAGCTATGAATAATTTTAACTGCATTTCAATGTCTAAATCATTCTTATCTCACAGAAAAATTATTCTGTGCGAACGCCGAACCCTATCCGGAGACCAACCAGAATGTGCCACATCACCCTGTGCTCGGTACCGTGGCTCGTACTGCTCGGTACCGCGGCTCGGTATTGCTGACGTGGCGCATTCTGGTTGGTCTCCGGACGACGTTCTACATCCGGTCTCTGTGCAGAATAATTTCTCCATCTCACATACATGCATTCAAGCCAAATTAAAGAGTGATATTTCCTATAGACATGTAAATAGAAAAGCAAAGGAAAATGTTTGATGACTTAAATCATGTTCAAATTCATTGCAAGCTTGAAAACAAAATAAATAAAAGAGCTTCAACAAGGCATTAATTGATTCTACTCTGCTTGTTTAGCAAGCTAACATCGACAAATGAATTAGTTCAAAGCAAAAGAGCATGGCTCCAACGACCTTTGTGCTTTAGAAAGCCGAACAACCCTGAAAATAAATCAATAGACCTAAAACCCTAACCCTGTAAAAAGTAAATCAATCAGGAACATTGGGAGAAAAGGAGGTCCTCCGATATATCACTAATAAGCCAAAAGAGACAAAGCTCAAAAGATCAAACAACCGGTAGTCTAAACTGATCCAAGAACCCTAAAAAAAAAACAACAAACAAAAATTTAAACTTGCAATGTTTACTTGAACTCGCATTCTTCTCATGATAAACAAAGCGTAAGGAACAAGACGAAGGATTCTATAACTTACATGGCATGAGCCCTAGTCGAAGAAGAAAGCTCTTCCAAGCCAACCCTCACTCTCAGACGCTAAAAGAGCGATCTTTGCAGAAGAAAACTCAAACCTAAAAGAGTAGGAACTGGAAAGTGGAAGCCGTTGCTTCCTCTCTGCTTCCAAAAATCCGACTTTGACCTCACCATTGCTCTACCTGCTCCAAAGCTTTTTCTTCTCACTTCCTTTTTGTTTAAATTAAAGAAATAAAATTTCGGTGGTATTGCGGAAATTTTCAACTACCCACGCCTCAGTGCTCGCGGGCCGCCCTCAGAGCTCCGATTTTTTTTTTATTATTTTGTTTTTTTTTTATGATTAATGGTATTGGGGCTCCAATTCCGGTTGTCGTTTTCCGGCCTCGCAATACCTCTTTAGCCGTTTTGGTTTAATTTTGAAGGATAAAGGGTTTTTTTTAATCACGTGCTTTAAATTGATTAGCTCTATCTTTACGGTGTAGGAAAAGCTCAATCTACCAGAAATAATAAAAATCATTAGACTATAATCGGTTCTTGGTCAAAATTTACAAATTTTTTCAATAAAAAAAAAATTAATTCATATAAAACTGAATAGATTATATAAATTTAAAATAACTTAATAGATGTAATTATATATGATATAATATCAAAAAATTTCATCATTATTAAAAAAATTGTTGCATAATACATGCCTCAAAAATCCAAAAATTAGTTTGAGATTTTTCTTAAATTAATTTTGGGGTTGAATAACACTTATTTTTTGGACTTCTATATAATTTAATGATGATAATGTTAAATTTATCTGAACTCTATTAAATATTTTTATGAAAGTTACCTATATGAAAAATGATAATCATAGCTTTATAAGGCTAATTGTGACATCCTTTACTAGCTTCAAATTTTTTTTAAAAAAGGACGATCCTAAATATAATTTCATGTTATTTTGCAAATATTTATGTGTTGATTCAATTATGATTTCAATTAATTATATTGTTCCCTATAATATTGCATTTAATTTTTTATTTAAATTGTATGACTTTATGAAGTTTATAGCTTACCACTTTTCATACTGACTATTATTACAAAGAAAGGCAAGGAAAATGTTGAAGCAAAATAGTCTCATGTCATTGAATATTTAGGTTTCTGCTAAACAATGTTTATGAGTCTTCATATGAGGTATGTAAACAATAAATAGTGGTGATGTATTTTGATTGTCTTAGCGTCTCTATAATTACTTGTGTGATGCATGTGAGAATATTTAGATGCGTCAGTTTATTCAGAACATATGTGGTAATGTAATTGGAGTAAATATATATGTATAAGAAATGCTTAAAAATATTATATGTTGAGATTTATGAATGTATTTCTATGTGACACTCTGTGTTACTAGTAGAGGTATTTTGGGATGTTACAAAAGTTGTATCATAGCAAAGAATTAAGATTCTTAGAATTTAATTACGGTAGCTTAAGAAAATTTAGTTGTATAAAAAAGAGAAATGAATCTGATTGAATTATTACAGAGCCTAAGAGAGAAAGTTATGTTTCTAAGTTCGTAATAAGTCTAACTTTCGATCTTATTTATAAATAGCATATAAAAGTAATATGTTAATATGTGTGCATGATTGTATAACTATAAAATTCATGATATAATACATTGCATATATAATGGCTGAAAGGGTACATTAGGCTAATAGTCAGTCATCTTAGTATGATAGAACACCTAAGGGTCCTTAAAATATTGCATCAATAGAATGCATTACAATCTTAGTGGACAATGTACTAGTCGTGTTTAATCCTGCTATTGTAATGTCAGAGAATATGATGCAAAGGCAAACAATGAATATGATGGAAAAGATGCAGTCTTTGGTAGGACCTGCAACACCCAGTGTTCCATCTTTAATTATCCCAATTACTCTTACAACTCCTAATAGCAGTGCAAATAGAGATGCATGTGCTCATGTTAATACTAAAGTAGATAAGCATTTAAAACTTTTTCAAAGTTTAAAGCTATCTTTATTTAAAGGAGGAGTATATGCAAGAACTTCTAAGGATTGGATAATCATAATTGAGAAAATTTTAAATGTGATGAAATATCTTGGGGATAGACATGTATCCATTCCAATTTTCATGTTGGAAGGTGAGGGAGAACGATGGTGGAAAGGTCAACATTTGAAACAATTCAATGGTATAGCTGAAGAATTTATAACTTTAGGGGAATTTGAACAAGTCTTCAAGGAGTAGTATGTTTCTCCTTCGGCAAGGCAGGCAATGCAAGAGAGTTTTGTCAACTTAAAGTAAGGAGCCAAGACTCTTATTCGGTATAAATTCGAGTTTACATTTTTATCAAAATATGCGCCGCAACATTTCAGTACTCCTACTAAAAAATATTATATATTTTTTAAGGGCCTTAGAGATTCATTAAGATAACCTTTAATTCCATTACACAAAAAATAAAAGAGCAGTGGAAGGTCCTAATTTGAGCTTTAGCCATATTTTTTTCAAATAGTTTAATTAAAATTCATATCATTATTTACATTAAAAAATATGACTAAATACTTTTTGTTCAATGTCTTACATAATTTATGCATCTATAAAAGTATTTTATGATTCTAGATAACTATTTAGTAACATTTTTTATTAGAAAATAATATCATACTATGAAAATTAGTAGCACTTGCATAGTATTGAAACTGAAGACATCAATGGATTTGATGTTCAACAACTTAACTTATTATTTATATTAGACTAGTTCACTTTGATAACTAATTTAATATGCACAAAAATTTAATAACTCATTAATTAATTATATTTTTGTTCATTTTCAATTTAATAGTTAAGAAACTAAGGCTTCGTTTGGGACGGCTTTTTTATTGCTTTCTAAAACCGAGTTTTAGTACAATTGTTTTATTTTTGTACTAAAACTCTGTTTTAAAAAGCAATAAAAAAACTGTCCCAAACAAAACCTAAGTCTTAACTACTGCCTATTGATAATGGAATTTATTAGTTAAGTTGTTATTTATTTTGAAATTTCTCACTCAGCAATTGGCTCATTGATAGATTTTTTTTTTTAATTTTGAAATTTATAACATTAAATTGAAGTAACAAAAATTCAATCACAAAGTTTTGATAACTTCTAAAAGTCTATAAATTAATTAGCTATTTGGGATAACATTTTATTATTACTTTTTAAAATAGTATTTGATTTCTATTTTTTAAATGTTTTTTATTTTTATCTAAAAAATAAATAAATAAAATAATTTTAAAATGCTCAAAATAATTTTGAGTTTTTAAATATTTTTAATTTGCTCGGTATTGCTAGGGATTTGCTCAGTATTGCTAGGTATTTGCTCAGTATTGCTAGAAAAAACAAGGTACAACTCGGTATTTGCTAGATATTTGAAATATATCCAAAAGTTGATGGGATGTTGTTCGGCTCGTCAAGGAATTAAAAAAACGCACGCGCTAGAACCCAAAAAACAGCGGGTCGGGTCGGCGACTTTTCTTCATGCTACGTGGCGCTAAAACGTTGGTGGCCGAACGTATAGGAGCGTACGTTCACCGAACCAAATAAAAGTTCCGCAATATCCTCTTTAGCCGTTTTGGTACTTAATTTTGGCCGAAGGATAAAGGGTTTTTTTTAATCACGTGCTTTAAATTGATTAGCTCTATCTTTACGGTGTAGGAAAAGAGCTCAATCTACCAGAAATAATAAAAATCATTAGACTATAAACGGTTCTTGGTCAAAATTTACAATTTTTTTCATTAAAAAAAAAATTAATTCATATAAAAACTGAATAGATTATATAATTTTAAAATAACTTAATAGATGTAATTATATATGATATATTATCAAAAAACTTCATCAAATTATTAAGAAATTTGTGGCATATTACATGCCTCAAAATATCCAAAAATTAGTTTGAGATTTTTCTTAAATTAATTTTGGGGTTGAATAACACTTATTTTTTGGACTTCTATATAATTTAATGATGATATTGTTAAATTTATCTGAACTCTATTAAAATTTTTATAAAAGTTAGCTATATGAAAAATGATAATCATAATTTTATAAGGCTGATTGTGATATTCTTTACTAGCTTCAAATTTAAAAAAAAAAAGAACTTGATCCTAAATATAATTTTCATGTTATTTTGCAAATATTTATGTGTTGATTCAATTATGATTTCAATTAATTATATTATTCCCTAAAATATTACATGTAATTTTTTATTTAAATTGTATGACTTTATGAACTTTATAGCTTACTAGTTTTCATACTGACGATTATTACAGAGAAAGGCAAGAAAAATGTTGAAGAAGAATAGTCTCATGTCATTGAATATTTAGGTTTCTGCTAAACAGTGTAGGTTTCTGCTAAACAGTGTTTATGAGTCTTTATATGAGGTATGTAAACAATAAATTGTGGTGATGTATTTTGATTATCTTAGTGTCTCTATAATTACTTGTGTGATGCATGTGAGAATATTTAGATGGGTCAGTTTATTCAGAAGATATGTGGTAATGTAATTGGAGTAAATATATCATGTATAAGAAATGCTTAAAAATATTATATGTTGATAATTATGAATGTATTTCTCTGTGACACTCTGCGTTACTAGTAGAGGTATTTTGGGATGTTACAAAAGTTGTATCAGAGCAAAGAATTAAGATTCTTATAATTTAATTACGGTAGCTTAAGAAAATTTAGTTATATAAAAAAGAGAAATGAATCTGATTGAATTATTACATAGCCTAAGAGAGAAAGTTATGTTTCTAAGTTCGTAATAAGTCTAACTTTCAATCTTATTTATAAATAGCATATAAAATTAATATGTTAATATGTGTGCATGATTGTATAACTATAAAATTCATGATATAATACATTGCATATATAATGGTTGAAAGGGTAAATTAGGGGACTAATAGTCAGTCATCTTAGTATGACAGGACACCTAAGGGTCCTTAAAATATTGCATAAATAGAATGTATTACAATCTTAGTGGACAATGTACTAGTGGTGTTTAATCCTGCTATTGTAATGTCAGAGAATATGATGCAAATGCAAACAATGAATATGATGGAAAAGATGCAGTCTTTGGTAGGACCTGCAACACCTAGTGTTCCATCTTTAATTATCCCAATTACTCTTACAACTCCTAATAGCAGTGCAAATATAAATGCATGTGCTCATGTTAATACTAAAGTAGATAAGCATTTAAAACTTTTTCAAAGTTTAAAGCTACCTTTATTTAAAGGAA